GTAGGGAATATATGTCGGCGGTGCGCCGTGGCACGAAACCCCCCCCCCAGCACTACGGGGGGGTTTCGTGCACTACTGGGGGGTTTCGTGCAGCCCGCACCGGGTGCCGCCAGCGGCTTAGAACACCCCCCCCTTGCCGCTTTACCGGGGGGTTTCGTGCAGGCCGCACTGCGTCTACCTGGGTGGGCTCCCCCCCCCCCCCCCTGTGGGAGTGGGGGGGTGGGAGTGGGGGGTGGGTTGGGGGGGGGGCAGGGGGGCGGTTGGGAAGGGTGGCTCCCTGTCGAAATGTGGCGTGTGCTCGCCTTGTGTTCTCTATTCGCGTCTGCTCGCCTTTGTTCCGCTGCAGCCTCTCGTATTGTGGCTCGTGGTCACAATACGAGAGGCTGCGGCGCAAATCCCGAGAGCCGCTGTGGGGGGTCGACGGCACGGCCGCGTAGAGAAGAACAGTGCCGCCGTGTTCCGGCACGGCCCTGGGATGCAATGCCGCCGCCGTATTCCGGCCCGTCCTGGTAAGATTCGCGCGTCGGGGCTGGGTTTCGCGCGTGCTGGGAGCGCGCCGCTTACGGAGGGGTTGCGTCCTTACCGGGGGGTTTCGTGCAGCCTACCAGAGGAGGTCGTGTTTACCGGGGGGTTTCGTGCAGGCTCGCACCGGGAATGGCGCCAGCTCGAAACCCCCCAGGAGAGATTACCGGGGGGGGGGGTTCGCTCCGCACCGGGCACCGCCGACATATATGTATATTCATTATTTTCATGGATACACTTACATGTGTATAAAGAATTTTATATACGTATACATGTGCATACACATATCTGTATCCAGATTTGCATATGTAACATGTAGATATATGATGTGCATCTATATATATACACACATATATATATATATATATATATATATATATATATATGTTGCTTGCATACATAGATATACATACATCTACATGTACACATATACTTATGTGTAATTCTTATATAATATACACATACATAACCTACACAGGGTACATCTGGGATCCCTAAGGAGCCCCAGGGACTCCCCATGATTATGAGGATCCCTAGAAGGATTTTTCAATATTCCTTAGGAATCCCAGGGAATCCTGAAGAGTCCTAGGGATTCCTGAGGAGTCCCAGGGATTCTGCAGTAGTCCTAGGGATCCCTGAGGAGAACTAGGGATTCCTCAGGAGCCCCAGAGGTCCCAACAGTTCCCATGGATTCCCAGGGATTCCTCAGGAGTCCTAGGGATTCCTAAAGAGTTCTAGGGACTCCTCAGGAGTCCCAGGGATTCCTTAGGATTCCTTGGGATTCCTTAGGGGTTCCTTAGGAGTCCTAAGCATACCCGAGGGATTCCCAGGGATTCCTAGGGATTCTTCGGGAGTCCTAGGGATTCTTTTTAGGAGTCCTTGGGATTCCTTAGGTCTCCTAGGGGTGTTTAGGGATGACCGCGGATTCTTGAGGATTCCCATTGATCCCTAAGGAGTCCCAGGGATCCCTCAGGAGTCCTAGGGATATCCAAAGAGTCCCAGGGATTCCCACTGAATCCTTAGGCGTCCTAGGGTTTCCGGAGTCTTAGGGATTCCCTAGGATTCCTTAGGATTCCTAGGGATTCGTGAGGATTCCGGGGGATGTTGCAGGATACCTGAAGATTCCGAGGCATTGCTTTGGATTCCTAAACATGCTCTAGCATTCCTTTGGATTCCTAGGGATTCGTTAGCATTCCATAGGATTCCTAAACATGCTCTAGCATTCGTGAGGATCCCATCGGAGTCTTAGGGATCCCTAAGGATTCCTTAGGATTCCTAGGGATGCCTTAGCATTCGTGAGGATTCCATAGGTTCCTAGGGATTCCATCGGATTCCGAGGGATGCCTTAGCATTCGTGAGGATTCCAGAGGATTCCGAGGGATTCCCTAGGATTCCTAGGGATGCTTTAGCATTCGTGAGGATTCCATCGGATTCCTAGGATTCCCTAGGATTCCTAATGGTGCCTTCGCATTCATGAGGATTCCATCTGGTTCCTAGGGATTCCATCGGATTCCGAGGGATGCCTTAGGAATCCCATGGGGATTCCATCGGATTCTTAGGGATTCCCTAGGATTCCTAGGGGTGCCTTAGGAATCCCATGAGGTGTCACAGGATGACTTAGGAATCCCATGGGATTGCTTAGGAATCCTTAGGAATCCCATGGGCTTCCGTCGGATTTCTATATGCTTCCTTAGGGATCCTATAGGATTCCCATAGGATTCCCATATGATTTTTTGGGATCCCCTAGGAATCCCCTAGGGATCCCACGGGACCCCTTAGGAATCCTTTTTGGAATCCCATAGGATTTCGATAGGCTTCCCTAGGCATCCTGTAGGATTCCCATTGGATTCCCCTAGGATTCCCTTAGGATTCCCTAGGGATCCCTTAGGGATCCCTTAGGGATCCCATAGGACTCCTTGGGAATCCCATAGGATTCCCCAGGAGTTCTATAGGCTTCCTTATGGATTCTATAGGATGCCACAGGGAGTCTGCGTCCCGGAGGTCGGCTCGGCGGCGCGCGCATGTTTTCAGTTCGTGGGAGTGCATGGGCTGCCTTAAGGAGCCCAAATGCGAAGCTTGAGGTTCGCTTGCTGGTTGCTGGTTGCTGGTTGCTGTGTGGTGGGGGGGGGGGGGTGCTGACCACGGGGGGTTAGGTCAAGGGTTGCCCTTAAGGACAAGCATTGACCCAGCTGCCCGGTGAACGGGGGGTTAGGTGCAGTGTCGACCTTGTTGTTGTTGTTGTTGTTGTTGTTGTTGTTGTTGTTGTTGTTGGTGGTGGTGGTGGTGGTGGTGATGGTGGTGGGGTTGTTGTTGTTGCTGCTGCTGCTGTTGTTGTTGTTGTTGCTGTTGTTGTTGATGTTGTTGTTGTTGTCGTTGTTGTTGTTGTTGTTGTTGTTGTTGTTGTTGTCGTTGTCGTTGTCGTTGTCGTTGTCGTTGTTGTTGTTGTTGTTGGTGTTGTTGTTGTTGTTGTTGTTGTTGTTGTTGTTGTTGTTGTTTTTGCAGTTGTTGTTGTTGTTCTAGTTGTGTTGGTTAAATGTGGTCCGGTTTGGTTTGGTGTGTTGTTCCCAACCATCCTGTGGTGTTGGGTCTTCGTTTTGAAGAGACGGTCCCCGCGTTCACTCCTCCCCCTCCCGCTGCCCACTTCCTCCTCCTCTCATCATCAGCATCAGCATCATCATCGTCATCGTCATCGTCATCATCGTCATCATCGTCACCATCATCATCCTCATCCTCATCATCAGTATCAACATCATCAGCATCAGCATCAGCATCAGCATCATCATCCGCATCATCATCACCACCACCACTATCATCATTATCATCCTCATCCCCATCCTCATCCTCATCCTCATCCTCATCGTCATCACTCGTTGCAGCACACCCCTCACACGCTTCGTGGCGCCATAGGGAGCGCCAGGGAGGGCCCAAATGCCAGCGTTCGCATGCGGCCAACGCACCCGTTTTGGCACTCCCCTCACACGCTTCGGGGCCCCATAGGGAGCGCCACCGAAGGCCCACATGCCAGCGTTCGCATGCGGCCACCGCACCCATTCTGGCACAGCCCTCACACGCGTCGTGGCCTCATAGGGAGCGCCACCGAAGGCCCACATGCCAGCGTTCGCATGCAGCCACCGCACCCAATTTTGGCACACCCCTCGCACGCTTCGTGGCCCCATAGGGAGCCCCACCGAAGGCCCAAATGCCAGCGTTCGCATGCAGCCACTGCACCCATTTTGGCACACCCCTTACGCGTTTCGTGGCCCCATATGGAGCTCCACGGAGGGCCCCAGATGCCAGCGTTCGCATGCGGCCACCGCACCCATTCTTGCACACCCCTCACACGTTTCGTGGGCCCATAGGGAGTTCCACCGAATGCGGTGCAAGCAACGACGGTACCCAAAGCTCCATATGGTTGGGTCCTTCGCTAGGATAATTTGTTTTGTTTAGGTTTGTTTTGCTTGGGGGGTGAAAGGAGGGGTCTGCAACAGTGGGACTTCAATGAGGGCTGAATGGCCCATGTGTGCTCAGTGTATCGCCCATGTATGTGATCGGGTACGATTGGCATCCAATGTTGGCGGTCATGGAGGGTCAGTCGTTCGTGCCCGCGCGTTGCCCGCGCGGGCAAACGCGCCGTCCATCCGTTATCGTTCATGCGTGCGGGCTTTCTTGCACATTGCACGTGGGGCGGCGAATTGGAGTGCAATTGTGTCTTGATTGTGAGATCGATGACCGCGTATGTTCCCAAACGATGATTTGTCGGCCACCAAGGCAGATTTGGAAAAGGGCCCCGCGATCCCCCCAACATGTGAATTCACATGACCCTTCCTTTCCAAACTGTGAGTTCACATTTTTCCCAAACGGTGAATTCACATTCTGGCCCCTTCATACAGGCTCGTATCCAACATTCCAAAATTTGACTTCACATTTTCCTTTTTTTCCCAACATGTGAATTCACATTTCCCTTTTTCCCAACATGTGAATTCACATTTTACTTTTCCCCACACTTTGAATTCACATGTTGCCTTGGCAGCCCAAATCCCCCAAACTGAGGCGCAATGTTCCGCATATCAGGTTCGTTGGGCAGATTTTGGCACTCACCTCACAGTTTTCGTTGATTCAAACCTTTTTCTTGTTGTGCCCTCAACGCATGTTGCCTCTGCCGCCTTTCCCGAGCCCCTCGTTTTTTTTGCTTAGTTTTCTCTTAAGCCTCGCGCGTGGGCGCAGGCGGGGAGCTTCAATTGGTTCCCCGCCGAACACAGCAATCGAGGATGTATCGCCCATGCGTGGCCCATCGAGACACCATTGCCGGGACCCCCCATGTTCACCCTCCAGTTTATTCCACTTACATATATATATATATATGTGTATATGTGTATATTTCTTTCGTCCTCTTCTCTTGGGTTCCACGGGAGGGGGTCTCTCTTTGTCTCTCTTTTGTTCCCTTTTATGCCAGCGGAGGAGTGAGGGACTGAAATCAGGTTGACTTTTTTCGTGTTGTACTCGAACTTGATGCCAATGTCTCTTTACATGACGGTGGACATGTGCAATGCTGCCCACGCCTACTTCATCAAGCACGACAAGAAGATGTGTTACATCGGGGACTGCCTCCCCGCCGCTCTCTCCACTCGCTCAGCTCGCGCGGTTCCGATTGGGCGCCTCTCGTGTGCCACTGGATCCTCTGTTTCCATGACGGGCAGCTTTCCTGTCCATATCCACTGCAGTATGGAGTTCGGGGCTCCCTTCTCCCGGAAGCCCGAGGCGCATTAGATATGGATGAATTTGCCACCTGGAGGCTCGATTTCTATCCATATCCAGTGCACCTCGGCCTTGTGGTGCCCCTTCAAAACAAACAAGACGCATCGGGTATGGATAGAATATATCATATTAACCTTGCCCGCATCCATGCACGCGCCTCTTGTCTCATGCCATTATGGTACCAGCGGCGGCGCTCCCTTGATGCGCAGTCCCGCTGTCGAGCCGGATGCTGTTCCAGCCTGCTCCGGGTTTCTTGGTCTGCGTCGGGGGGGCGTCACCCCCGCCGAGAGCCCCACGTCGACCCCCGTCGCGGGCAGCCACCGCGGCCCGAAGGCGCTCCGACCCCCGTCGCGGCGCGACGACGAGGGAAGGTTGACCCCCGTCGGGGGGGACCCTCCCACGCTTATGAAGTGCGCGACGACGAGGCGAGGTTGACCCCCGTCGGGGGGGACCCCCCCACGCTTATGAAGAAACCCAGAGCAGCCTTGATCACAAGAAATAGTGTCGAGCACGCAGAAAACACCGAAGACTTTAACCGTCTTGGCTCTCCGTTTTCTTCCTCCTCCTCCTCCCCTCCTCCTCCCCGTTACAGTCTTGAGCAACATTGTATCTGCAGCGCGGCTGCTTTCTTTTTCATGCTACTGTTTACAAACTGAGTTTGCCTATTGCAGGTCGGCTATTGTGGCGTTCCCTGTTTGCTTGGCGTACCTTTATCTTTCTGTGCTGCCTGCCACGAAGTGGGGACATGCTGTGGCCGTCTCCTCCTTCTCCTCCGAAAGAAAAACATAGAAAACACCGAAGTTGGAGGGTTTTTCCCATGTGGCGGGCCCCAGGCGGCGATCCGCCAGCGTGCGGGCCCCTCCTGGCCGATCGATCGTGTGAGGTCGTCGATCGTCCAATCGATCGGTCGAGAGTCGAGGTCGTCGGTCGTCGAAGAAGTGTTCGTTTTTGTATTCCTTGTTTTGCCGATCGGCGCGGACCGCCCAATCCCCCCTCCCCCCCGGGAGTAGATCTTGGCTGTTTTTTGGCGACTGTTCCGAGCGGGTGGAGTCTCCCCCAGATGCAGCCTTCTTGCAAGCAGTCGCACTAAGCAGAGGTTCGGAGCCAGACCCCCCCATGCCCCCCCTTCCGCCCAATGTCAAAACGCTGAACAAGAAGAAACGTTCACAAAACACGCCATAATCTAGGCCTCCTAGGTGGGGTCGGAGTAGATGGAGTCGGAGGATCGCGCCGCATCGCCGATGCATCGGCGATGCGGCTCGGTGTGCAGCCCGATTTTCTCCATGCCGCCTTCGCCGACGCATCGTCGATGCGTCGTCGACACATCGCCGATGTGGCGCGATCCTCCGACCCCATCTACTCGGACCCACTTAGGAGGCCTCTACATAAACATGATTGTTTGGCGGTCCGTGCGGGTTTATTAGACTCGCGCTGGGGGCCCCAGAGCGTTCCGTCACGCTCCGAGAGCGTATTGAAGCGCTCTGGACTTGCCGCGGCGCCCGCTGCGTCTTCCGGCGCCGCCGGATCGCACATAGATCTCCGATTTGTCCCGGTCCGATGGGAGGACAGCAGCTCCCGTCCGAAACAGCAGCACCGCCAGATCGCATACACATATATTAATGTGTATATATATGTATTTATTTATATATATATATATATAAATAGATCTCCGATGTGTCCCGGTCCGATCTTGTCGCGGTCCTGGCTTCGTTCCAGCCTTCAGTCGGGCATGTCCCTCTAGAGGAGGAAAATTCAAAAATAGTAACAGCAAAACAGTCTGGGGACGATGTTTTGACTATTTTGAGGTTTTTGCTTGCGTATTTTTTGACTGTTTTTATTTTTCGTCCAAAATCCGCCTCTAAGCCCGACTTAATTCTAGTCTTCCCCCGCGAGCCGGCCATCCCGTTTCGGTACGATCGAGACGGGTCCAGAATGAATGGGAGCCATTTTTGAGCAGGACTCGCCGTTGGTGTCTCCGCGGTGTGTTGCGTGTCCGCTTGAGAAGCAAACGTCGCCTGCCCGACAGCGGCCGCTCTCGGTTCTGGGCAGCATCTGCTGCTGGGCAACCTTCCCAAGGTTACCCTTGCATCCTTGCCCCTTCCGGCCCATCCTGAGCGACTTTCGCTGTGCCCTTCAAGGCTCTTGCATACGAACCGTGCCTCCTTATGCTACGGGCCGACTGCATCCATGTCGTGCGTGCCAGCCCTTGGGGGGCAGAGGGGAGGGGGGGCACACTCGGACGGGACTGCTGGACGAGGATCAATCCGTCCCAGAGCGTTCCGGAACGCTCTCAGAGTGTTCCAGAACGACCTGAGGAGGCCGCAGTGCCCGAGACATCCTCGGAGCCGCTGAGATGCTCGATTCAGCCTCACCCAGTCCTCGTCCTGGCTGCGTCTTGCACACCCCCAGTGTTGTGATGCACCCGCAACAACCATCACCTCGGGATGACGCGCTGGTCCAGGGAGGAAAAGGGGGGGACGGGGGCACACACCCCGAGAGGACTAGACCCCTCCTCTCGGCGGCGAGCGACGGGGGGAAGTGAGAAGGAGAAGGCCCCCCCAGAAGGCGGCAGGGCTTCTCAGAAGCCCTCGCGCCCTCTGAGAGGTCTTCTCTGTCTCCGGGGAAGGCTCCGAACACTTCCCGCAAGGCCGGGGGACTTCCGGGCCTCCTGTGGAGGCCCGCCCCCTCTCGTTTCTCCCCCCAGGGCTCGCCGCCGATCCTCCGCCGGTCTGGCGTTTTGTCCCGGGTGGTTGTTTGACGGGCCCGAGGCCCGGCAGGCTCCCCCCAGAGGTCCAAGCAGGAGCCAATACCGCCCGACGCACCGAACATCCTCTGGGCCTCTTCGTTTTCTCTCCACAGCGCCGCGCCCCCCCTTTCCTTTCGCCGTACCTCCTCCCGCCCCTCGTTTCCTCCCCTCCTCCTCCTAGTCGCCGCATGCCCATGTCGGCGCACCCATACACGCGGATCGTAGCTCCGAGGGAGCTCCACCTACGATCTTGTGGCCTCGGTGGGTGCGCTTGCATGGCGGTGCCGCTCTGATTTCGGCCCCTCGGGCGGATCGTGCCCCAGAGGAAGCTCCACCAACGGTCGCATTGGGTGCGTTCGCACGGCAGCGCTGCACCCATTTTCGCTTGCCTCTCGCGCCGGTCGTGCCCCGTAGGGAGTTCAGCGCGCCTTTTCGTGCTTGCTTCGCAGCCCTACCATCTGGACTTGCCCCTCGGCGCATTGTATAATATGAGGAGAGGGCCGCACCCCGCACTGGGTAGATCGATGATCCCCAGGACGTGCATTAGCTCAGCGTGTGTTCACTCGGGGCATCTCCACCGATAGCACGCAGCTAGTGCCGGCGCTCATTACCTTGCCTGCGTCAAGACCGCCAGGCTCCAGCGGACGTACACACGCTGCACTGGCACAGTCTTGAGGATCGTCGAGCACGGCTGTGCCATTCGCCTCAGACATATCTGTGGCATGATCTGTTGATGTGTACAGCGCTCTCGACGGCGCCTCCAGAGGGGTGAAACGACACCGTGTGGTATAAGCACTGTGGCGGGCGTGGTCTGGCCATGCGGGCACCCGCCTCCAAAGGACGCACCGTGCCAGTGTGCCTTCCTGCGCCCCATACGGCCAGGACACTGAAGTAAGGACCACTTTGGGCTCGGGAGGGGCTCTTCGGGCGGGGCCAGGACGAGGATCAATTCGTTGCTCTCAGAGCGCTCCAGCACGCTCTGAGAGGGCCGCGGCGCCCGAGACATGCTCCAGAGCCGCCGCATCTCAGAGATTCTCGATCTATCTTCATGTGGCTTCGCTCTTGTCTTCATCTTAACTCTGGCTGTCGGGCCGTTCCTCGGATGAAGCATCATTTCCCGCTCTTTGTGGGACCCCTGTCTTTCCATAAGGTCGCTGGAATAAATATCAAATCACCCTCACCCATCGGTCGTTGAAAGTAGGACTTTCTGGAGTCCCAGATTCCAACCTACCTGAAGTGCCTTCCTACTTCAGTGATCGAGTGGCTTCACCCTTTTCCGACCTCCCAAAGGGGCGGACGGAACCCAATCTGCTTTCAACGCCTTCCTGCTTCATGTGTCCGCCTACTTCTTCCGACCGATGGGTATTACGGTATTACGTTACCAGTGGCGGGCTGTTTTGCAATCCCAGGACTTTTCGAGGGTCGGGGACGACGCGCTGGGGTGGTGTGGTGTGTACTCTTTTCCCCGACGTCCCGGGAAAACAGCGAAACATGTACACACCAAGATCCCGTGTACGCCAGAATCCGCGTCCTTGTGAGAATTTCAGCGCCGGGTCGGGAGAAGCGTCGGTGCACAGAGCTCGGTGCCCTGGCACGGGTCTTGCGCGTCCCCCTCGGGCGAAGAGAAGACAGGCGCCACTCCTCATGGATCGGGTATAGCCTTATGATGTTCCAACCTGCTTTGGCCTTGATCACCAGGAGGAATTTCGAGCGCCCAAAAAGTACCGAAGCTCAAGGGTTCTCACGTGTCGGGCCCTGGGGAGACACTCGCCCGACACTGTTTCGACACTGTTTCGACACTCTTTTGGCACTTTTCTGGGTGCTCGAAATCATGTCTGGGATGCGGTCCTTAAGTAGGACGGGAACAACATAAGTATAGGCAGGATCCCGGTTAAGGCGAGCCGGTTAGTGATTGGGCCCCGAAGCCCAAAACATGGGCTGGAATCACTGAACCGGGTCCGCCGTAGCTGGTGTTTTTCGGGTGACGGCAGTTCCGATTAGTGGAATGGGGCGGAGGGGGCGTTCCCCAGTACACATCACTAAACCAGGTCCCACTTCGGGCGAAGAGAACTATGCACATGTACCGATCCTGACAACGCCCATCCTTGACCCAGGATCGGTGCATATACCTTCCTGGCCAAGGTAAGAGGGCGCGTGCACCGATCCTGGGCTCAGGGTTGGGCCTGGCCAGAATCGGTGTATGTGTGCATAGTTCTCTTTCCTCTATCCCCCTCGTGTTGTGATGCACCCTCAACGAAAATCTCGGGGGTTGGCCAAGAGGCGGTGATGACTAGGGGGGGATCTCATTGCGGGGGCCACGATATCTCCCCAGATCTCATGACGCCTCTTCTCACTTCATTGCGTCCCCAGTCCCCCCCCCCGGGCCGCGCACATGCCGCTGGCCACGAGTTGCGCCCCTCCCCCTCTTGGACGCCCCCTTCTTGGACGCCCCCGAAAATCAGCTCGGGATGACGAGCTGGTTTTCAGTCGGGCACCTCCCTCTACAGGAGGAGAATGCAAAGATAGTCAAACAAAATTGTTGGGGGACGCGTTTTAGAATTTGTTCTGACTACTTTAGAATATTGTTTGGGTATTTCCGGTTACGTCCAAAATCCGCCTGTAGGGGGACATGCCCGACGTGAAGTTGGTCCAGGGAGGAGAGGAGAGGGCGGGGGGCGGGGGCACAGCCTAGGCGCCGTGGTATGTGTGTTCACGGCGCGGGTTTCCCCACCCCGAGGTCTCGACCCCTCCTTTCGGCAGCGAGAGCGAGGGGGGGGGAAGCGAGAAGGGGAAGGCCTGCTCAGGAGGCGGCGGGGCTCCTCAGAAGCCCCCTCGCGCCCTCTGAGAGGTGTTCCGCGTCTTCGGGGGTGGCTCAGGGAACTCCTCGGAAGGCCAGGGGACTCCGGAGCCTTTTGGGAAGGCCTCCTCTTTTCCCCCTCTCGCCCGCCGCCAAACTAGGTTTGTCGAGCGCCCCCCGACGGCCCGAGCGCCTGTGCGGAGTGCCGATTGCCCTTGCCGTGCCGCGACGGGCAAGGTTCAGGAGGGAAGAAAACACACAGGCGCGCCATTGGCCGTTCACGCTGGCCAGAGATTGTCTTTGATGTTCAGTGGAAGTGGGTCGAAGACTCGCATTGCTTCACGTGAACCCCTTGGCACCGATCGGGCTTGAACACATTAGGCACACCGAATCTCCGATTCCCCAGAAAATATGGGAAACGATGGAAAGTTAATTGTTCGCGTCGCCCCGGGGGCGTCGTCGGGCCTGCGCCCGGCGCGCGGCCCCTGGCGCAGAAGAACCACCCGCACGACAGCTTTGCGTCCAACGTGCGCGCCTCGAACCTGTGTCAGGAGCGGCGCCCCGCGGGACGGGGGGGCCTTGCCGCGGGTGAGGGGGGGGGGTGGGGGAGGGGGAGGGGGAGGGAAGGAGGAAGAGAAGGGTTCGGTAGCAAATCGTGGGAGCCTGGTATATCCTCTCAGTTACGTCTATTCGCGTCGATTAGCGTCCATGAGTCGATAAGATGGCGCCGAACTAGCGTCGATTCGCGTCGATTTAGCGTCGACTGGCGTCGATTAGAGTCGATCCGCAAGAGCCGACAAGATGTTACGGGAGGCTCCGATGAGTTGCCACCGAATAAGGGCGAGGGAGTTGGTCCTGGTCTTCCAAAAGGGGTCCGGGCAGATGGGGTCGGAGCGTTGCGCAGCATCGCCGATGCATCGGCGATGCGGCTTGGTGTGGTGCCCGATGTTCTCCAAACCGACGGCGCCGATGCATGTCAAAGCATCGGCGATACATCATCGATGCGGCGCGCTCCTCCGACCCCATTTATTCGGACCCAATATCGGAGATCTTTCGAGGACGAGGAGACGGAGGAGGAGAAGAAGGGGGAGGAGGGAAGAGGGTGCTAGTCGCGGGCGCAAGGAGGAGAGCTAGAGCGGAGAGGAAGTGTGGGACGAGGATGAATAGGAGGTTGAAGAGGAGGATGGAGGAGGGAGGAGGTTGTGAGAGGAGGAGGAGGAGGAGGAGGAGGAGGAGGAGGAGGAGGAGAAGGAGGAGTAGGAGAGGGAGAAGGAGAAGAAGGAAGAGGGCTACGCGACGTTCTTTCCAGCCATCATGAACAAGGAGGAGGAGGAAGAAGATGAGAAGGAGGAGGAGGACGGGGAGGAGGTGGAGGAGGAAGGAGGTGGGTGAGGAAGAGGAAACGGGAGAAGACGAGGACGATGAGGGCGATGAGACCCGTTGGGGGAGATGAACGCGGAGGAGGAGAAGAAGGAGGAGTAGGGGAGGGAGAAGGAGAAGAAGGGAGAGGGCTACAAACGACGTTCTTTCCAGCCATCATGAACAAGGAGGAGGATGAGGAGGAGGAGGAAAAAGATGAGAAGGAGGAGGGGTTTGAGGAGGAGGTGGAGGAGGAAGAAGGTGGGTGAGGAAGAGGAAACGGGAGAAGAGGAGGAACAGGAAGGAGATGAAAGCAGTCGGGGGAGTGAGCGAGGAGGAGAAGGAGGAAGAGGAGGAGGAGGAGGAGGAGGAGGAGGAGGAGGAGGGGGGGGGGGGAGAAGGGGGAGAAGGAGGATACTGATGATGATGAGGAGGAGGAGGAATTAGGAGGATCTCACAATTTGAATATTCTAGACGCTTCGCATGCCCTACAAGCCCATCCAGAAACAGTGCTCAGGCGAGTTGTCCTGGTCAGGGATGTGGGGGAGCATGCAGTGGAATAGGGGAGTGGAGAATCCATCATACCCCTAAGAAGGGGATGAAGGAGGAGGAATTGGAGCAGGAGGCGGGGGGAGGAGGAGGAGGAGGAGGAGGAGGAGGAGGAGGAGGGGGAGGGGGAGGGGGGAGGAGGGATGATGACGATGATGATGATGATGATGATCATGATGATGATGATGATGATGATGATGATGATGATGATGATGATGATGATGAAGATGAATATGATTATGATGATGATGATGATGATGATGCTGATGATGATGATGATTATGATGCTGATGATGATGATGATCATGATGATGATGGTGGTGATGATGATGATGATGATTATGATGATGATGATGATGGTGATGATGATGATGATGATGATGATAATGCTGATGCTGATGCTGATGCTGCTGATGATGATGTTGATGATGGTGATGGTGGTGGTGATGGTGATGATGATGATGCTGCTGATGATGATGATGATCATGCTGCTGATGATGATGATGGTGATGGTGATGCTGCTGCTGATGGTGATGATGATGATGATGATTCTGATGATGCTGATGATAGTGATGATGATGATGATGATGATGATGATGATGATGATGATGATGATGTTGTTGTTGTTGTTGTTGATTATGCTGATGGTGCTGATGATGATATGATATGAGGAGGAGGAGGAGGATGATGATGCTGCTGATGATGATTATGATGATGATGATGATGATGATGATGAGGAGGAGGAGGAGGAGGAGAAGGAGGCGGAGGAGGAGGAGGAGGAGGAGGAAGAGATGAGGAATAGGCGGATAAGGGACAGGAAGAGGAGGAGGAGGAGCAGGCGGAGGAGAGCGAGCATAATGGCCTGAGGCCTTTTGGATGTCTCCCAGGATCTCTTCGGATGCCTCTTGAAAGTTGTTCGGGGTTCTCTTGGGGCGTCTTTGGGCGTCTTGGGGACGCCTCGCAGTCCCGGGGCCTCGTAGAGGATCTTGGGTGCCTCGGGTGAGCCTTTCGGGGCATCCCAGGGATCTCTTGGGAGTCTCTTGGGGACCTCTCGGGGGCATCTCGGGGCCTCTGGGGCGCCTCTTTGGGGCACTCTTGGGAGCCTGGGGGGCCATCTTGGATGAGCTCGATCAGAGAGGGGGGTCCCCAACCTATGCCCTATGCCCCCCCCCTTCTGCAGCTCCTATACTAGCCTCTTGGACCCAGCTTCGAGCGCTTTAAGAGCGCTCCTGGAGCGCTCTTAGTGAAGACCGTCTTGGGATCCTCTTGAGCGGCTCTTGGAGCTCTCGTGGGCATTATTGGAGCCATCTTGAGGCCTTGGAGGGCCATCGGAAGTGAACCATGCGAAACGGCAAAACACATTGTTGTTTCCAGGGTTTGAACGGAGTTTGACCTCTTCCTGGCTCTCGTGGCGGTGTTCCGTGGCCACTCGGAGCCGTCTGGGGCTCTGTGGGCCTTTTGGGGCAGGTTGGATGTTATCTTGCGCGATCTTGAGCAATTTTGGAAACCATACTGCGCACCCTGAGGCTCTCTTGGAGTTCCATCCTGCGCCACTTTGGACACTCCAATCGGTCGCGACCCCCCTCATTTCCCCCCCCTCCAGACCCAGGGGGAGGGGGCAAGGCGAGGGGGAGGGGTAAACCCCTCCCCGAACGGGAAGAAGGGGGTTGGAAGAGGAAGCGCCCTAAACCACTCACGCCCGGGCTGGTGGGATTGCAGATACATGCCGGCCCAAGGGGGCCACGTGCATGAGCGATGGCCGGAACCTTCTGGCCGATTCCATTCAGGCTTGAAACGCTGCGGTTGTCCCTTCGGATCAGCGCGCCGATTCTGGCCAGATGTGGAGCCCCGGAAGGGGCCCAAATCTCCCGTGTTCCCGAGGTCGCCCCTGCGAACAGCGCGCCGCGTCGAGAAGAATCAGTTCCGCGTCGGTGCAGATCCACCGCCTGCCGACGTCCGTGAAGATGGATCCTCCCCAGGCGGTGGTTATGGAACGCATGGAACGCGAGGGTTTGGGTGTCCTTCCATCCAAGCTTGAGCTGGGAATGTTCCTTTACAGGAGGGATATTCAAAGATAGTCAAACAATAGTTCTAGGACGAGTTTCTACTATGTTTGACCACCGAACTCTAGGCCTCCTAGATGGGGTTGGAGTAGACGGGGTCGGAGGATCGCTCCGCCGCGCCGATGCAGCGGCGATGCGGCTCGATGTGGAGCCCAGCTTTCTCCTCGCCGACGTCGCTGACGCATCGCCGACGTCGCCGATGCATCGTCGATGCATCGTCGATGTATCGGTGATGCATCGGCGATGCGGCGCGATCCTCCGGCCCCATCTATTCGGACCCCATCCAGGAGGCATCTACAGCCAAGTCGCTGAAATAAGGAACAGTGTGGGTGAGAAAGGGGCTCGATACTCCTCAGGTCATCCTTTGGCTTTGCCTCTAGCCTTCCTCGTGCGCGCAGGCGCTTGTGGGGCCAAAAAAAGGGGCTTCGTTCCTTGTTGATCGTTCCTTCTTCCAGCAGCCCGACTGTTCGATGCTTGTTTCGGGGACCTTCCTGGAGCCCACCTAACGGATCTGTTCGACCCCAGTTCGACTCAAGTTCGACTCAAGTTCGACTCAGGTTCGACTCAGGTTCGACTCAGGCTCGACTCAGGTTCGACGCAGGTTCGACCCAGCTTCGACTCAGGTTCGACGCAGCTTCGACGCACGAGTGGAGCGAGTGGCTCCAGGAAGGTCCCCAGAACGAGCATCCAACGACTGTGCCCCAGATCTGGCCGCACCCAGCGCGCTCCCCCGAGGCGCCGAGCGCAGCATGTCCGTCGGCACGGGATCGGCCCAGGGTCGGCCATCGCCCACACGGTGGGCCCCCGTCCCCGGGGCACGGTTGCACGTGTTCACGCCCGCCGCCTGCCGAGGTTCCCGAAGGTTCCCCAGGCGGTGGTTCTGCGTAGATCCCCTCCCCCCCCCAGAAAAAGGGCGGCGACGGCGTAGTTCTCCCGGGCTCCACGGGTTGCGTGCGGGCGTGCGTTGTCAGCGCACGCAGGCTCATGTCGGGGCGGTGTTGCGGGTTTCGATGCAGTCTTCGCCTCCTCCTCCTCCTTTCCCCCCTCCTCTTCCTCTCCCCCCTCTTCATCCTCTCCCTCTCCTCCCTTTCCCTCCCCTCTCCCTCTCCTTCTCGTCTGTCTCCCTCTGCTTCTCGCCCTCCACTGCCTTCACCTCCTCTCCCCCTCGTCCTCCAATTTCTGCACGCATCGGTGGCCCGAGTTTCTGCCACGTTCGCTGGACTGCGTCTTGCCGCAGACTGCCTGCCTGCATCGTGCCCCCCGCATTGCACAGGCGAGCAAGACAATGGTTGCATTGATCATCGGCTCCACCATCGTATCCTTCTCGTGTGCGCCATCCACGTTGCATCTCCGAGAGCCGCGGCCAGGAGCTCGGCCAGGTGTCGTACATTTTCTCGGACAAGACTGGTACGCTGACCCAGAACGTGATGGAGCCTGGGCGTGCGTACACGTCGCAGAAAGCAGCATGTATGCCCGCTGCGGCTCTCAGGCACTCTAGGATGATGTATACCCATTGGTCGTTGAAAGTATGTATTTGTGATGCCCAGGTCACAATCTACTTTAAGCGTTTTCCTGCATCAAGAGTCGAACGGTTTTCGCTCTTCCCTCCTCTTCAGGGGGCGGGCGGAAACCCAATGTACTTTCAACGCCTTCCTACTGTATGGTTCAACCGACCCACGGGTAACCAGTTCAAGGCTGTTCGCTTGCAAGGGCTGGAAAGCTCGTTGGGGGCCTCTTGGGGTTCGCTGGGGCCATATCCGAAGTCGTCGGGTTGTCTTGGGAAGAGCGTGGTGTCGGGCTGGACCCCTCGTTGGAGCTCGTGTGGTTGCCAAGGGGTTGCCAAGGCCGTCAAGTGGTGGGTGTGAGCGGGTCACGGGCTGTGCACGAGTCTCTCGGGCAGGTCGTCGACAGCTTCTGGACAGCTGTATGGCTTAGTTTGGACGGGTTTTGGGGAAGGTCCTGAACGTGTGTATGTGGAGGGGGCCTCTTCCAAGGCTTCGTGTGGAGCGCGTTCGATTTTCGCTCGAATGCAATGCAGCTTGCGCGCCCCCCTTTGTCTTCGACAGGCGTTTGATCCAACGCTGCGGCGGAGGAGGAGGAGGAGGAGGAGGAGGATGTGTGACGTGTGTGTGTGTGTGTGACGTGTGCTTGGCACGACTGGTGCAAGTTGCGACGGGATATGGGTCCTGTTTCAATTCGTTTATTTTCGCATCCTGGAGACATTCAACCCTCTTGCGCTTCGCAGCGTTGGTGGATAACTACGCGCACGTGTGTACGTATATCCACAACAGGTAGGTTGCCACCAGTAAGTAAGTAGGAGCTGGTACGAGACCCAATGGAAAGGGTCGGACGGCCTTAGGCCATGACGCCGGAATGTGAGTGAGAGTTCTACTCCCTCGGCGAAGTGTGAACGCCAGCACCAACAGTCGCACTCAGCCTCAGTCTTTCTCCTCTTTCCCCCTCGTGCGCCGCTGCTCCTGCACATTCTCTCCCACCTCCTTCACGTACTTCTCGCTCGTTCTCACGCCTCCTTCGTGAGCCTCCTCCTGGCTCCCGCTTCCTCCTGCTCGCTGCTTGGTATGTGTGTGTGCGTGTGCGTGTGTGTGTGTGTGTGTGTGTGTGTGTGTGTGTGTGTGTGTGTTTTGTTATGTCTGTGCTCCTGCCCTGGTGAATGCAGTGCCTCGTAGGATCCCGTGCGTGGTCATTCTTGGAGGCCTCTTGCAATCGTATTTGGGTTCATTTGGAGCCCTCCTGGCCCAATCTTGGACCATTTTGTAGACAGCTCTTGGATCCGAAGGGGAAAGCTTGAACAACACCTCAGAAACATGCTCGGGAAACTAATGGGCTTTAGGACTGACGTAGCAGTCTGCGTGGGCGCGTCCGATTCTCAGACAGTCGAGTATGACCCACACGAAACGACCATCCAACACCGAACGCCGACAATCACCTGGCTCTGAGTTGTGTTCCCTCGGAGAGGTGCGCATGATGATGATTGTATGCGTGTGTGTATATATACACACATCTTTATATATATATATATATATATATACGCATGTACATGTATGAAAGAGCGTGTTCTACCGCTGCTGGCGGAAAACCAGGGGGGGCACTACCGGTTCGAACACCTCCCCCCCCCCCTCCGGAAAACCGGGGGGGGTCACTACCGGTTCGAACCCCTCCCCCCCCCCCCCAGTTCACCATGAAAAGGGGGGGGGGTCACTACCGGTTCGAACCCCCCCCCCCCCTCGAACTCGAAAACCGGGGGGGGTCACTACCGGTTCGAACCCCCCCCCCTTCGAAAGCCGAGGGGGGGTGCGGACAGTGGTGGGGACGGTGGTGGTGGGGACAGTGGTGAGGGGACAGCGGGACAGTGGTGGGGACAGTGGGACAGTGGTGGAGACGGTAGTGGTGGGGACAATGGTGAGGACATGGGAACAGTGGGGACAGTGGGACAGTGGTGGGGACGGTGGTGGTGGGCACAGTGGTGTGGGGACAGTGGGAATGTGGTGGAAACAGTAGAACAGTGGAGGGTACAGTGGTGGTGGGGACAGTGGTGAAGGCGGTGGCGAGGACGGCGGTGGGACAATGGGACAGAGGTACAGTGGGGACAGTGGTGGGAACAGTGGGACAGCTCAGTGGGACAGCGGAGGAGTCAGTGGGACAGTGGGGACAGTGGGGATAGTCGGGGCAGTGGTTGGGGCCGTGGAGACAGTTGGGAGAGTGGAGCCGTGGTGGGAACAGTGGCGGGGACAGTGGGGACACTGCGACAGCGGTGGTGGCATTGGTGGGGGCAGTAGGGGCGGTGGTGGAACCAGTGGGGACAGTGGTGGTGAGGACAGTGCTGCTGGGAGCATCAGTGGGGGATGTGGTGAGGACGGTGGTAGGGACCGGGAGTCGTTTGCTGGCGGTGAGAGAGGGGGGTGGGGAGGGGTTCGAACGGGTAGTGACCCCCCCTTCGGTTTCGAGGGGGGGGGTTCGAACCCGTAGTGACCCCTCCGGTTTTCCGGAGGGGGGGGGGAGGGGTTCGAACCGGCAGTGACCCCCCCGGTTTTCCGCCAGCAGCGGTAGAACCTCCGGTTTTCGACGGGGCGGGGGGGGGGGGGCTTCGAACCGGTAGTGCCCCCCCCCGGTTTTCCAGAGGAGGGGGGGGGAGGGTGTAAATCTGTGTGAGTCTTGGCCGACCGATCGAGACCAGGGAGCCCGAACGAGCGAACGAACCGATTCCATCGCTGTTTGGTTCAGGGCGCCCTTGGGCCGGTGCATAGCTACCGGCGAGTACGTTTTGTACAACAGTGCTTCCAGAGCGTATACGTTTATAGAAGCCCACCACGTGCTCACACACGAGAGATACAGTTTCGTGGGTGTTGGCGCTGCGCTGAACATAAAGTGGATTATCACGATAATCATCAGGGTTCATTGGGATTGACAACAGCTATCTGAAGTCCATCGACGAGGCTAACGCCAACGCCGACAATTTAGTTGGTAGCGGAGCCGGTCTGGCTCCACGGACTGGCTCGTCATGACGACCGAAGACCAGAAGCACGAGACAGTTCCATCCTGGGACGGAGATGTTGCCAGCTTCGACTCATACGTGATGAGGGTCAAGCTCTACGTGCGCGGGACCAAGAAGGACGAGAAGGGCCTGTGCGGGCTCAGGCTGATGGCTCGACTTTGCGGAAGAGCCTGGCAGGGAGTACAGAAATACGACAAGCTCGAGAGCCTCGACGACACCGAAGAGGACCCGAGCACAAAGCTTCCGAAGGGTGTCAGCCAGTTGTTGCAGTATCTCAAGGAGAAGAGCGGCATCCTGGAGGTAGAGGACGCAGGAAAGTACATGCGCACGTTCATGAAAGAGACATTCCGCAAGAATAGGACCGCGATGCGCGACTACTTGACACAGTTCGAGGTCGAGGAGGATCGGATGCAGAAGGCCATCAAGGCCATCGACAAGAGCTTTGATGAGAAGAAGCCGATCTTTCCAGAGCCGCTGCGAGCCTGGTTCCTATTGGAGAACGCGGGCCTAGACGACCACGAGAGATCCCAGGTGCTGGCGTCTGTGCAGAACCGGTACGAGTACCAGAAGATCCAGCAGGCCCTCGGCATGCAGTTCGACAAGAAACATGATCGAGAAGGCCACCACCACAAAGGGCATAGACCCCAGTGGCAAGGCCGGAAGAACTACGTTGCTGAGGCCGACGACGACTACTACGCGGAGGATGACGGACATGAAGACGACGAAGAGCCTGTCCAGCAGCTCGACCTCGAGGACGACGCCACCGCCTTCGCGCTGGCCGAGGACGAGGACGTGAACTACCAGCTGCTGGATATCTACGAGCAGGCCGGAGACGACAAGGAGCTACGAGACGAACCCCTAGAAGGTGCTGTGCTTGCGGCTGCTCAACACGGGCAGCGCTCCTTCAAGCAGGCACGAGAACTGCTTCGACAGGAGAAGACGGGCAGGAAGTTCTTCAGCCCGAACGCCAAGGGTTCGCCGGGACCGAAGGGCACCAAGGGTGCCGGCCGTACCCCATCGACGTCGCGTGGCTCGCCGAGCCAGGGCTCTTCCGGGAAGGACTGGGGGGCGGACCCGAACGCCGTGTGCCTGCGATGCGGCGGCAAGGGCCACATCGCTAAGGACTGCAAGGCCCCCGCCAAGCTACAGAGTGGGCGCAAGTACAAGCATCCATCGTCATCTGTCATCCGGACGCGACCGACATCGACACAGATGCGATCTACTTCGACACAAATGCGACCGACATCGACCAGTATGCGACCGACATCGACCAAGATGCGACCGACATCGACCCGGATGCGACCGACACCGACCCGAATCAGACTGAGGGTAACTCGAAAGCGATTCTGGCGATCTCGGGGCACGACTCGCTCTGGATTCAGGAGGCCTCTGAGTTCCCAGACTGCATCCAGAGTCCTCAGGTTACCGAAACCACCGACGGGTTCACTTTCGGGATCGAAAAGCTGGAGACCGAGGCTTAACAGAAGAGAGTTTCGACATGTTCTTATAGTTCATGAACAACACGTCTTCCTGGCTACTCAGCTCTCGGGCACCTTCAAGGGCATCTTGGATTCAGGGGCGACTTCGTCTATGATCGTTTTAGAGCAAGCCGAAACCTGGCAGATTTCGATGATGAGATTGATTGGCCACAACCGTATGAAAGTTCTGCCGGGACCCCTGATAGAGTTCACCTTCGGGAACAACCAGAAGGCAAAATATCTGAATCACGCGTCTTTACCCGGATATGTCGATGCCCAAGAGTGTGACTTTCCAGTTTCGGTCGTGGATGTCGAGGCCCCGCTTCTGATAGGGATGGATTTCTTGAACCATTTCGGGGCCGCTGTAGATTTCGAGCAGGGCACGATATGCTTCAGGGCTATGAGTGACAAGGTGTATCTTTTAGAACGCTCTCGCTGT